TGTTTTCAGCGTCTGCGAGGCTGCTTTGATACAAGGAAATCGTAAAAATGGCATGAAAAGAAGAAAAATTTGCTTCATGCGTACATTCTTTTATAAAGATAAGAAATGATTTAGACATTGGGAAAAAAAACTCATCTACACGGGTTCCTTAAACGAAATGGTCTTGATGAGCCTTTTGTCAAGACAACTGCGAATAATCCGACGACTGAGAATATCACCTTCGTGAGGCTACGGCTTCTTGGCTGGAGTGGTTTTACACACCATTTAAGAACATTTTAGTTTGGGCTGTTAAGTAAAGCTTAAGGAAATGTAGTTTTTCCATAGACTGGAATTCCTCGACATGAGTCTAAATTATTATATTGAAAACAATGTGTAACTTTAAAGCAGTTGGAACGGGTTTCATTTTACCATATGGACCAGAATTTATATTCCCGAAATGAGTGTTGCAGTCAAAGGAGTCACCTTGGGAGGTTACAAACTTATTTTATCATTGCTCCCAGGGTTCAAAAGATTTTGGAAACTCCTCTTTGAACCGCACTCAGCAAAAGTTTATGAGCCACGTTAGCAAAATCAATCTTGTTACATTGTTTTCACACCTCATTCTTTTCCCCAAACATCACCCAGATACAACCCACAGACTTGGCTTCAAGTGACTCTTAGCCGTTTCCAAAAATCAAATTCACCAGCAAAAGACAAAGTGCTGTCTAAGGATATGTAAAATGGGGTCCTGCAGGCCCTGAAGAGAATCCTACTGGGAAGTTCCCAAATATTCTAAGGAAAAGCAGCTTTATTGAAATAAAGCATACAGCTTCTCAGGGGCACCGGCGTGGAAGGAGACAACACTTGGATGAGTATGTTCAGTAAAAGTCATCAGACCCATAACTTGAAGGTCATATGTCAAATATGAGAATTTTGTCTCTACCTTGAGCTGGGATGCCCAAACTTACAGAGGACAATGGAAACTTCTTTTTAATGTACAGTATAGGACAATATTGAACTAAATTATGTAAGTTCTCTGTTGCCATGACCATAGGAAAGAAATACCATTCTCCGTTCACTTAAAGGATAGTCAATCTGAAACAAAAGAAATGATTTCTTCATACAGGATGAGGTAACTTCTAGAATTCACACCATGGAGAGCTATTGAGATAAATATCGGGTCTGAATTTGAAAATAGGATGGGTCGTTTTATGACTATTAACATAAAATTTGCAGCTCCGTAAGCCCAGATTGTGATTTAAAGATAATAAAATCTCATGCTTCAGGGTGTAAGTTAATCACCTGCAAGGACCAGGAAGAATTTTCCTTCCAGAAGTAACAATGCACAATTGAGTAGGTGCATAAATTCTGTTTAATTTCCAGTGCATCAAGTATTGGTCAGTGCTGGAAACAAGAATCAAATTAGATGGACTATTAATCTGATGTGGTCCGGCAACTCCTATATTGTTGCTTCCACTGAGTTTTATGTCTTGTGTTTATACTTTGCTATTTTAAATAACAATTGCTTTGGCAATCTTTCATTTTTACAGCACTTATCCCAGAATGGGAGCACTTATACACTATGCAGTATTATCTCCATTATACAAAGTAAATGGGATTGAAACTATCTCAGACAATCGACAACTTGGTTAGTAAGAAATATCTTAATGTTTATAGAGTTGTATCCTTTGTGAAAGACTACTGAAAAGACCCAGAATGTCTCTATCGCTCCACCTCCCAACACACACACACACACACACACAAATACACATACACAAACACACACACACACACACACCATTTGCTTATAGAAAACATCTTTTAGAATCAGTGGTCCAAAAGAAAACAGGAAATAGAACTTATTCATAAACCAATAGCAAGTTACACGTTCATCCCATGAAAATACCACATTTGAGGGCTGATTTTCAGTTGTGGATACACTAAGATCACGTTTGTCAGGTGACCGCCACAACACACACACCACTAAATAAAAGTAGTTAATGTGTTTGAAATTAGAAACAAATTTAAATTATTTAGTCTATATGAGAAAATAGTTCTAATTTCTGAACGGAATGTGTAGAGATCTTCCATGTACACTATCATTATTGGCAAGATAATACGCTTGATTTCATACTTTAATTGGAAGAAAATGACACTGAGAGTACATTAAACTTGTGATTTCTTCGTATTCCCATTCAGTCAGATTATGAATTCATGTGACTTTGCTATGGAAAATGAACTTGTTTTACCGATCTTCCAAAACAATCAAATAGCTCTGTAATTAATAGGTGGTCTATTGTATTAGACTGATTAAGAATTAATCAGAAGTGAAGCCAGAAGTAGGTTTTTTTCCCGTCTAAATGAGTGGATCTTTACGTAAAGATACAAATTCTCAAAATACAGGTGAAACACAATAAAGCTTCCCTGCTGCCTACCATCCACCCAAGATCCAGTGGGGAACCAAGCACACAGTACCATACCAAAGGAAAAATTAAGGGTTATAATTTATTGTGGTTTTTTTTCTGGAAAGGTGTGGTTCATGATAAGAGCAGAGAAGAGAGTGGAGATCAATCTGATATTCTGTAGGTTTTCAAAGATTTCAGATCTTTCCTCATCCCTTAGGAAGAGGAATGGCATGTCTTAGCAGGAACCACAGCAAGGGCAACACTGACTGCCTGCAGTATTGTTCAAGAACAGTCATTCAGTCATTCAACAAACATGTTAGTCTTTGTGCTCCTGCACTGTGCCAGGAGCATGGGACACCGAGATTCTAGTCCCAACCTTAAAAAAAATATCTTTTCTGATGACCCAGGAATCATGGTGAAGAGACGATGCACTAGCAGGTGCATCTTGTAGCTATCTGGTCACTGTGTAGTCGTTCTTTTGCTGTATGAAGTTGATGCAGAATGTGACTAACTATGAAATTAGCCCTTCTGCAATAGTCAGAAAAGAAGGAATGCAAACCCAATGAAAATGCTTTCCCACATGACTTACAGATTCACAACAAGCACATAATCTTCTTGGCATATATGGAGTGATTTTTGAGGCATATCACTGCAGTACATGTTATTCTGCTGTAGAACTAGTCACTGTTTACACAGCCTGAGTTAACCTGTTTGACCTTTTCCTTGAATTGTTCACCGCTCTGCACATCAACAATAAGAATTTTTAAGTGGAAGCAAAAAAAAAGAAAATCGACTTCAGATTTTTTCTTTTTGTTTAATCAAAAGCACTACATTTAATAAAGCTTCTTAAGTCGAAAGCCTCCCCTTGAAAATTTTTGTAAACAATTTTGGACATTTTTCATGTCAGTGCAAAAGACAGGGAGTCTGAATGTCCATTTCTATTTCAGAAAGCTGCATCAATACTGACTCAGTTTGCAATTAACACACACTACTGTATATAAAATAGATAAACAACAAGGACCTACTGTAGAGTGCAGGGAACTATATTCAATTTCTTGTAATAAGCTATAAAGGAAAAAAATCTGAAAGTACGTATAAATATATAGGTATATATATATATATAACTGAATCACTTTGCTGTACACCTGAAACTAACACTATAAATCAACTACACTTCAATTGAAAAAATTAAATTTAAAAAAATACTGACTCAGAGAAAAAGGAGAGGATTCTTTGGGGTACACCTTACTATCTGTTCTACATGGAGGAGTCAGTCTCGCAGGACCCCAGGTCTCCATGGTTTGGCAGATTCTTCCAGATGTCGGTCATGTCCTTTCTATGGAGACAGCAGAGGAGGCTACGAGCCCGTCCACCACAGCCTGGCCACCTCCGGTCAGCACACAGAGGCTGCACTGTTCTTGCTGTGGCTCTCACTTAATTGTCCTCCACTGTGGGAGGAAATGAATTGCGTGGCCAGCAGTGCTGCAGGCTGGCTGGTGAGATGAAGTTCTGCGTGGAGTTTCATGTCATCGTGGTGATGAACCAGAGTCCCTAAGTACCCGTCTGTCCGCAGTTCCGCACGGAGACGGAGCAGGGGGAGTTCGGGCAGGCCCTGCAGTGCTGAGTAACCAGAAACTCATGTTGGCTTATCAACGGAAGAAGCACAACTTCGAGGTCACAGAATCAGGGCAGGGGTCCCTCCTCAAGACCTCGTTTTGACAAAGCGACCTTTCTCCTCCAGAAGGACATGTTAGCATTTTCCTCCCCAGCTGCTCTCCCCCTTCACCATTTGTTCATCAGCCCCTTCCTCTCAGCAGAAGTGGAGGGAGGTTCATGCCCAAGAAGAAATGCCTCCGGGCCAATTCCTGCTGCTTCTCAGCTCCCACTGACAGGCGTCGTTTTTAAGTCAATTACACGATTATTAGGAAAGGCCGTGTGCAGGTGTGAAAAAAGTTAGGGCAAAATTACATTAATTTATGATGGAGTCTCAGATTTCTAAGAGAGCTTATTTTTATCCAGTTCATTACTGAGAACAATTCATCACCAACTTCTTTTAAAAAAATCAAGCTGAGTTCTATGGTTACTTTGAAGGTATATTAACATGGTCTTATATGACTTCAGAGAGCTACTTTAGAACTCTTTTCTTTCTCATCTAGTTCCATCAACCAGCTTTGTTTTCTTTGTGCAAATAGCTAGGCCAAGCCTCTTTGAAAACATAAAGGGTAAAAATTTAAAACTAAACATACAATTAATCGAAGAACTCCAGGATGGAATTCCCTTCCAAGTGAGCCGCTCCGGCAGCCCCTGCTAGGTGGTACTGATGGCATCCACCCCACCTCTTACCTGTTTCTCTTTCTTGGGATGATGACAAAAGTCACCAAGTTAGAGCTTAGCATTTAAGCAAAGGGGGAAAAACTGTCGCCAAACATTGTTCTAGATTTCACCGAAGAGAATGCGCTCCGTCAGGTGCGCGTGGTCACGCGGCAAACAACGGCGGAGGAGCTGCTGAGGGTCGGGGAGGGCTGGTCCCGTGCAAGCCCGGGAGCGGCTCGCAGAGCCTCCCGGAGCGGAAGGCGCCGCGCGTGCGTCTCTGACCCCCGTCTGTTTCCCCCGCAGAGCTACAGCGAGCCCGTGGACGTGAAGGCGTCGCAGCCGCCGCCGCTGGTCAACTCCAAGCCCCCGGCCGTGTTCCCGGGGCCCAGCCAGGCCCACTCAGCTCTGTACCTAAGCTCCCACTACCACCAGCAGCCCGGAATGAGCCCTCACCTCACCGCCATGCACCCCAGCCTCCCCAGGAGCATAGCCCCCAAGGCCAGTAACCAAATGCCAGTGACTGTGTCTATAGCGAACATGGCCGTGTCCCCCCCTCCCCCGCTGCAGATCAGCCCGCCTCTGCACCAGCATCTCAACCTGCAGCCGCACCAGCCGCTCAGCATGCAGCAGCCCCTCGGGAACCAGCTCCCCATGCAGGTCCAGCCCGCCTTACACTCCCCGACCCTGCAGCAGGTACGTGCCAGGCGCCGGGGGTCTGCTCCCCGCTGGGCTGGGCTGCTGTCTCCTGTCCTTGGGTTCAAGTGGAGAGAGACCGGAAGGCATCGGCTTCCGGAGAGACTGCTCGGCAGGTGACGAGCAGGGCAGCTCGCACCACCGGCCCTCCGCCTTCCGTCCTCCCCGGTTCCTTTACCAGGGTTCCCGCCTGCTTCGTCGTCCTCATCACCCTTCTTGCTGCTTCTTGAGTAAAGTTCCCTTGTTATTTGAGATGGCACTGATGCTAAAGACCTCTTCGGGGTTGAGAAGGCTATTTGAGGTATCTGTATATTGGAAATGAGGAAGTCTTGACTGATATGCCTGGTGAGTCCAATGTATTCTGCAGAATGAAAGCCCGCCCGTGGTTTATGGTCAGAAATAGCGAATTTGGTACAACCTTTAGAGTCCTAAAGAAATGAAAATGATAACCAGAGTTTTATTTAAAAATGGGTATCTGGCTTCTACAGAGATGAGAAAACACAGGAGGTTTGGGAGCCTCCCTGTCCACTCCCCCAAGTATGGAAATCATTTGTGTGCAGTCTTAGCTTAAGTTTTATTTGAAATCAAGTTTTCCTTTTGGATTTTGATGTTATTTTTAAAATTGGAGACTAAGGAGCAAATGATGTAAACTGAACATAAAGCATCAAAAAATCCTAAAAACTTGTTGTAAAAAAATAGATCAAGGTAAGAACTACGAATCACATCAAATTAATCTATCACTTTTATAATCCAATTACTCTGTTGTTCCCAGAGCTATAATTAAATATGCAAACATAGCCTTAGAGGAGGGACACCTGGCCCTCTGGAATTTGAGCCTGTGATTGGACTAGGGAGGGGTGGAGGGGAGGCAGAAATAGGAATCAAATATACATAACCCCAAGTTCATTTTTATTATTATAGTTACAGACAGGATTTCCAGGAGGTGACAGTAACAAACCTTAATACATTACCTCACCTCATCTTTAATTTCGGAGCTTCACAGTGCAGGCCCTGGCAGCGTCTTCATTTCACAGGTGGGGAAGCGCAGGCTCAGCAGAGCTGAGTTATGTGTCCCTAAGGCCAGAGCTAGAACTCAAAGCCATCTCTCTTCAGAAATCAGAGCCTGGATTCTTCAACGCTAGACCCGCTGCCTCTGACTCAGTCATTTTTGTAGGCTCTCAGCAGTTTCCCACTAGAGGCCCTGTTGTCTCCTAAGAATTGGGAGGGTCTTTAAATCCTAGTTAGTTCTGAGGTTAAATGGCTGTGGAGAGCAGAGGACTTGTGTCTTGACTGGAGTCTTCACTGGTCCCCAAGCCAAGGGTATCGATCAAGCTCAGACGACTTCCTTCCCCGGATCCAACAACCTAGCTGTCGACCCACAAGGGAAGGAGACGGGGGAGACGCCAGCCTCCACCATCCTGCCTCATCTTCAGCGGCGTTAGTGACCAACAAGTGATATTCACAGAGTCCGATTTCCACGCTTTCCATCAGGCATAACGCATAGTGAGAGGCACACTCTTGGATGCCCTTGTGTTTTGATGAAGCAGTAGTGTTTGAGTAAGGAGTTGGTAGTCTGAGTCGTGTGGGTTGACCCCCCGCTAAGGGTGCTGCCCGGCCGAGGGCCCGTGTTTGCTCACAGGGCTGTAGTTGAGGGGCTGTTTCTTCCTGGAGAGAAGCAGACAGGAGGCACAGTCAGTCCCCTCCCCAGGCTGAGGGCCAGAGCTCTGTGCAGGGAGGGCACCTTTTTGCTAACGTGTCCACGCAGACCGTTCCTTTTTCTGTTTGTCCTCACACCTTAGATGGGCTGCCTGTGAATTCAAACATTGCAGGATGACATAGGGCCACGTGGGGAAACCCGAGAGATGTGTCTTTCCATATAGAATTCTTAACTGAATAGGAAAAAATAGAACAGATCATACCGGACAAGCTATCCATCGATCTTTAAGTCCGTTCCGTTAGTGCGTCGCAGGAAGTGTTCTCGCTGAGGTGACAGGGCCTGGTTTCAGTTCGCATTAATAGTGACATGTCACAAAATGACACGACCCCAAAACAGGGAGTAAATGCCGCCGCAGAGACTGCGATGACTGAGGTCCCTTTGAACGATGCCTTGATCCCGGTAGGCGGTCAACAAAATAATGGTTGAAGGGACAAATGAACAAATGAGTGAATAAAAAATAGTAGTAGAAGTTGAAATATTAGAAGAAATTACAGGCTAGTTTGTGGAGTCTCAAATCCTTGGAAGTTTTACAATTTTTTATTTATTCAAAAAAAATTCATTGAACCTGAATGTGTGCCTGGCATTGTCCTGGCTCTGGAAAGCGAGTTCTGCCCCGAGGAGCTCACATCGGCCGGGGAGGGGGGGGCAGCGGGGGAGGGGGCAGGTGGAAATAAGATAAACAGGTGCATTACTAGAATTCTACAGAAGTAAGAAACCAGGGGAGGAGCTGCAGGGCATGTGGAGGAACAGCCCCGGGACGGGCTGGGAGGGATAAAGGAGCCCCCCTCTCAAGGCAGGAGGACAAGAAGAAGAGACCCTTTAAGAATCAGAAGGCGGGAGGGTGTGGGGGGAACCACAGAGCACAGAGTCAGTCACCCCTGCTGCCCTCAGTGCGTCACGGTCGCCGCCGTCTGCGGGGTCGGTGTCCACGTCCCCAAAGCAGCGCTTTAGCCCGTGGTTGTAGTTCCCAGGGCCGGAGTGAGACCTGTCTGATCCACCATCTTCATCCTGAAGGTGTTTGCTTCCTAGGTACGGGGGCCATGGTCCCATTTTCAAACACCAAAAAAGAAAAAGAAAAAAAAAGAGAAAGAAATTTCGTGAGTACTGTATTTTTTAAATAATGTCTCATATTTCAATATTACTATAGCTGTTTTATTATCCTTTTGAAAAACGAATGTATCCTACAGAAATGATGTTAGCGCCCACCAGGAATGATTTTTTTTTTCCTAGAGTAATATTTTATACGCCAAACCCATGGACCTGTTTTTGGGGGTCTAATTTTCTTCCTTTTTTTTTCTGTACGCTATACTGTCAAATGAGGTCAAGAGGAAAAAAAAATCATTAATATCTGTCAACTTCCTTTATAACCTTAAGAAAAAAAGATCTTTGTATGATATCACACAGACAGATTTTCAATTTCCTTGTGTAATAAACAGCTGCTTTAGGATTTGGGTGTAATTTAAAGGTTTAAAAAAAATCACATTGAGATTGATGAATAAATCAGTTGTGAAGACAAAAACATTGATGCCTGTTGAAAATGCCTCTCCAGACAGGCAGGAAATGAAATTAGTTCCCAGTAAAGTGTGGATATGAGGGTCACTGTTTGGTTGTGCTGGGGGCTTTTTTAGGACTTGCTGCGGTGGCGCAACTGAACGGCGAGGGCTACAGAAATCTAATTAAAGAGCAAATGTCCCTTCTGACATCAAATTAATCTTTATCGTGTTTCCTATTTTTATTTCAATCTGGCACCAGAAAATGAAATTTAAAATTCCAGGCATGCTACAAAACAGTTGGTGATTTTTCTCTTGAGCATTAAAATGCAAACTGCTCGGTCTTGTTTAATTAGACCGCTAAGCAAACAGTTTTCAAAAGTGTATATCAGCATTGTTTATTCGTATTTACATCAATAATCAAAATGGCTTTAGTTCTAGGTTTGACTTCAGCGTCTCTTAATACAGTCTTCAGAAGAATGCTTCATTTTCTGAGCTGAAAGCAAGCGAGATCGTGTTACTTCAGGCTTTGCTTGTGTTTTTCTTGGTCTTTGGTTGTTTTAATATGAGTGATCTTAAATGCAGGCATTGAAGTTAGCTGACTTTTAAATTTCTGACCTTTGTAGATAACACATAATTTTGGTATTTTTAAACTGAAGTGACCCATTGAATCTTAAAGTCCACTTAAAAATTAATGTTCTCCTGATAATTCGCCCCCCAAGCTTGAGAAGGCTTGTTCATCGGATGGAAGAAAAAGCAGTGGTGGCTTCTGTTGTGTGATTGCTGGGGTTGGGTAGGAGCAGGTTGGTTTGTTTTTATTTATTTTTAGTTTCTCACGTGTTTCCATACCTTTAGCTAAAGGGAGGTGCTTTCAGCTATTCTGTTTTCAAGTCTTGCTTACTGTTAGGTTACCTTTTGTCAATTGTGCAGAAATCCAACGTGGAGAACTTTACATTAAAAAGATTGGAGAGCCTTGGCATTTACACGTTGACGCTCCCCGTGCCCTTCCAAGGGTAGCATCAAAGAGTTAGTGTTAAAATTTATTTATTGGAAAACGTGACTTATTGAGCCACTGCTGAGTGCTGGGCCCGGAGGCTCTCCAGTCGCTGGTTGCTGGGCGGCCCTGACAACAGGGCTGGTACACAAGTGGACCTGAGGCTCCTCTCTCTGAGGCCTTGGTCCTGCCGTTTCCCAGCATCACGTGAGACACTCGGGAGAGAAGTCGAGAAAGCTGGCTGGTAAGCCCCAGAAAGACATTATGGGACCAAAATGAAACAGATGCAGTTCACCGCAGCCAGGGCAGCCCCTCGCACGACAGAGACGCAGGGCGGTAAAGGCCCGGAGAACCAAACTCCCCGGTGCAACCTCTCACTTTTCGCCCTCCTGTTGTGGGAAATGTTTGTGGCTTGAGCTGCAGGTGGTGTCTGCATAAACAAGCTTACCTCACACAAACCAGCTGTTAATTAAGGAGACATGCTTGTGCCCTCCAGCCTCCGCGAGGTCAGATAACCAAGCTGGCTGAATACCCCACTTCCCATCCTTCACCATCTTGTCTTTCATGCATACACAGCTTTGGTGGGAGTTTGGGTGGACACTGGCTTGAAGTCGTTATCATTTGAATAGAAAATAAATTAATATCTTAAAGCCAGGACTGAGAATTGAGGACATTTGATAATAGATGTCTTTGAGTCTTTACCCAAGTTACCCTCAAACATGGATAAAAGTCGAAGGAAATATCCTGAGTGAAAAATCAGCCCTCTGATCATTCTGCTGAATTTTTTTTCAGAGATGTAAATTCCCAACAGTATTATGCCTTCAAAAGAACCTGCAAGTAAATAGAGGACGATTCGTTTTTAAATCTCTTGATTTTTTTCAGTGGTTAAAAACCATGTGAGAATCTCCTACAGAAAGAGACAGCCACAAGATTAATTAAGCTGCTTTTTTGGTCATTTCCAGCAAAGCTTGCTTATGCCATTCTTGAATTCACCAGATAAGCTAAAAATAAATCTCAGTGTATAATGCTTTTTGTTTACCAGATACAGCTATATACTTCAGAGATTCTGTCCTTGAATTTTTAATAACTCAGCAAGGATTAAAAGTCAACACTCCACCATACCAGTGTATTAAAAGACTCTTCCTGAAGTCTGATTATTATTTGCCAGTTAATAGACTTTTCAATTAAAAAATATTTGCTCAGTCTTATGCTCTTGCTTCTGTCTCCTCCAGCGGTTGTTTTGAATTTCTTTCCCTATCCTAGTCCAACAACTGTTAAAAAGCTTTGGTTGAAATTTTTTAGCTGAGAAAGAAGTACAAATAAAAGAAGAAGCAGATGGTCCCTTTGTGATTGAATGAAGAAAAAGGGTTTTGAGAACAATATGTGAATAGGTGTAGTCTAATAAAACACTCAGCCACCTGCTGCCTGAATCCTTCAAAGAAGATTCTGTTGCATATTCTGGGGATTAACTATTAATGTATCCTTAGGCTTGACAGAAAACATAAACTTCGAGGTGTTTAGAGCCTTTTCCCTTTGTTTTGATTGAGTTGGCTTTTCTCAATTTTAAATTGTTTCTCGATTCAATTGATCTGCTCCAGAATAGAATTCAGGGTTTTCTAACACATGTTTAAATGAGGGGAAGGTAAGAAGAATGGGGTTGTGGGCGCTTCTTTTCCATCTTTAAGTTTTCTGGGTCCTTGGGACACGCCTGCCCTTGCAGGGAGGCGAGCAAGAAGGCAGCGGTGTTTGCAAACAGTGGGTAACTAGTAGGTGCTTTTCTTCTTATTTGTGGCCTTGCTTTCCCTTTCAGGGATTTAATCTGCAACCCGACTATCAGACTATAATCAACCCTACATCTACAGCTGCGCAAGTGGTCACCCAGGCCATGGAGTACGTGCGCTCCGGGTGCAGAAATCCGCCCGCCCAGCCGGTGGACTGGAATAGCGACTACTGCAGCAGTGGGTAAGCGGCCGGCCGTCGCCACCTGCTGGCGGGCCGCTCTCATAGCATGCGTGTGGTGCCCCGCTCCCGAGGCGACGCAAGGGGCCGGCGTCCGTCCCTTCCTGCTTCCCTAAAGATAATCTGGAATGGTTCCGTGCTGGGGGAAGCAGGCGTTGTCCAGCAGCCTTGCAGCCGTCCCAAGAATAGGCGCGCTTAGATCCAGTCCGCTTTGGCTGCGCCCCGCCCCGGCCCGCGGACGAGAGCCAGTGCGCACAGCCCCCGGGCCCGCGCGGCGCGGGCCGTCGGTTAACGCGACGTCGTTTGTTTTCTCTTCACACAGAGGCGTGCAGAGGGACAAAGCACTGTACCTCACCTGAGAATCTGAACACCTCCTCTTTCCACTGAGGCATTCAGGGAAGTCTTTCCGCCGCGGGTTGCTTTGCGCCGCCAGGCAGCCCTCCGTTTGATTAGAAAATACAAGTTGCTGAGCACTTAGGACCGTTTGAGCTCGTGGGTCCCCCACTCTGGAAGAAATAGTCATGCTTCTTTATTATTTTTTTAAGCCTTTCTGGACGCTGTTTCCCCTCGCCCTGAAGGAGGCGTGGGCCGCCCCGGTTTTGTGTTGGGTTTGCTGTGAAGTGCTGCCATAGTCCTGCCTTAGCGACTGTAGACGTCCCGGGTGAAGCCCGGCTTTCCCAGTGGTTTTCATAATGGGTGTTTATATGAAACTACTAAAGACTTTTTAAATGGCTTGATGTAGCAGTCATAGCAGGTTTGTAAACGGCATCTATGTCACTCTCCTAGAGTATAAAATGTGAATGTTTTTGTAGCTAAATTGTAATTTCAAACTGGCTCATTCCAGTTTATTGATTTCACAATAGGGGTTAAATTGGCAAACATTCATATTTTTACTTCGTTTTTAAAACAACTGACTAATAGTTCTATATTTTCAAAATATTTGGAAAAAAACCATATTCCCAAATGATTTTAATTTCAAAAAAAATTGGCTTTGTCTCATTGATCAGACAAAAAGAGACCATATGAAGGGAAATGCAAACACATTTATTTTATACTGCAAAAAAATTGCTTTTTTGTATCACTTTTTGTGTAATGGTTAGTAAATGTCATTTAAGTCCTTTTATGTATAAAGCTGCCAAATGCTTACCTGGTATTTTATTAGATGCAGAAACAGATTGGAAACAGCTAAATTATAACCTTTATGGCACTGTATTATTGTTTCTTCATACTGTGTCTGTATTTAATCTTTTTTTATGGAAACCGTTGCGCCTATTTATGAAATAATAAATATAGGTGTTTGTAAGTAAATTTGTTAGTATTTGAAAGAGGTTTCTTTGATGGTTTAACTTTTGCTGGCAAAAAAAAATTCACGCTTGGTGTGAATCCTTTATTATTTAGTTTTTACAGTGAATAAAGCCAAACCTACTTTTCATTTTAGCAGCAAATCAAAGTAACCAACTCTCATTTCTCCATTTCTTTGGTTGACGCAGGTGAAAAACTATGATATTTAAGAACTTTCCTTCTTCATACAATAGAACAGAGAATTGCCCTAAAAGTCACACAGGCTCCAAGACTATAAACAGATGGTTCTCTATCTGGGGAAAAAAAATAAAGGGTGGCTTCTTGGTTCTCAGCTGGTTTAGTCAATTCTGTAAACTCCCCTCCCTCCACCCCCCAAAAAAATGTTGGAAGTTGAATCAATCAGAATTCCTCAATCTGCATGCTTTTCACAAAATCCAAAAAGCATTTAGGAATTAAACCAGGGACAGGAGGAAGGAAAGGGAATGTGTACTGTCAAGACTTTATCTAAAAATCAAAGGTGAGTAACCAGACAGTAAAGAAGAAAGGGGGTCGCAGCCCCAGACCAAAAGCTGTTGATAGAAGTTGAGGTTCTTGCTGTCATTTGGGTCTCTCCAAGCTGCTCTCTTTCCAGAATTCTTGGGTCTTCTGGGGAATTGGTCCTAGAGATTTGCTAAAGAACCAAAAGCGTTGAGAATCTGGCTGAAGGTTGGCATAGCTTTTTCATCAAAAAGAGCAAATTACTCCCTTCCAAGGGATTCTATCAAGAAAGCTCGTCTGGTTGGAGATCAGAATGGCTGATGTGTCTTCCGTGGCATGTGTGAAACTAACTTAGCCATTTAACTAAATATGAATATTTGCATCGTGTAATCCAGTCAGAATTAAAAAGACAAAAGGTTTGCTTGCTTTGGAATGATTTTAGGCATTGTACAACCTTGAATCAGTTGAGCATGTAATAACTAATAAATAATGCAGATCCAATGTGATTATTCAAATGACTGTAGCTGAGAGCTCTAATTTTCCTGTCTTGAAACTGTATAAGAACTCATGTGATTAAGTTCACAGTTTATTGTTTGTCTGTTTAGTATTTTAGAAATATACGAGCACTACTAATTACCTAATGTCTTTTATTTATTATATGATGAGAAAGTAAAATTTTCACTTGTGTTAAGGCTAAACTGAGAAGTAATTACCAGGATGCAAGCAACCAGCTTGGACTTTGACAGGTGGGCTGTGCAGGAGAGAACAATGTTGTTTACAGTTTTCTAGAGCAGGTGTGCAACCAGGGTAGAGAGAGTGTTGAAACTCGAGACCAAAAACAGTCTAAAAAATGTAAATAAAAGAAAATACATTGTAAATAAAAATTCTTACCATGCGTGACCGTATTCTATTTGGATATCAGACCCAGCCAGATGAGAGGTCCCAAATCAATGTCAGGGCAGAAGCCATGAGGCGCAGAAGAGGGGAGTGGCCACCCTGGGCCCAGGCGTTCCTTCCCCAGACACTGAGAAGGCCCTCTGACAGGCGTTGCCTGAGAAATCCTCCACTTTTAAGGAAGCCAGAGTCTGGCCTGGGCACAGCAGCTCATACTTGTAACTCTAAGGCACAGCGGTGATGTACACCGAGTTCCCTGCCCTGAAGCCCTCCACAGGATTCCTGGACCTCCAGTATAGGCATTCTGGGCAACTCAGCAATGGTGCTGAACATGGACTGTCTTTACCAAGGCACCAGAGTCAAAATGATAACAAATTAGAAAAGGAAAAAAAGGCTGGGAGAGGGTTGAATCAACTCTCTAACATACACAAGAAAGAATCATCAAAATCCCCATTCCCATTTATTCTAACGTGAATGAGTCAACAGTGAAAAATCAGTCAAATAGTGCCTTCCGGTCAGTCCAGTTAGCAAACATGGCTAAGGATGAAGGCTGGTCTCTGTGACTCTTCACCTCATTGCCATAAAGAGAAGGAGCTCCTTCTGAATGAGACAGGAGTGGTCAGCAGCAGTCCTGACGACAAAGAACGTCTGTCCTGACTCCGACTGACGATTAAGAATTTTTTTCCATTTATGAATTCAGAATTAACCAAGCACATCAACAGCCCATATACTGTTTCTGTGGACCTCTTGTCTTTTTCAGAAGAGTTGCCCCAAACATCTGAAAGGTAGACTGAGCTATAGGAAAGTGCCTAAATATCCTTTTTTCCTACAAAAGTGACAGTTTCATTGGTTCCACCTAAGATGATTGGGAACTAGAGACGATGGGGCTTTGGCTCCAACTTCAGTATAATTTCAGATGGAGTTAGAAGTTCTTTACAAAGACACCATCAGTCTTGTTCACAAGGTGCCCACTTCCAGTCAGTCCCCGACAGCTCCGTTCAATTAAACCAAGAATATTTAACTTACCAGATTCCAGTAAACCCCCATAAACATCCTAGTTCTCTGGTTCTTTGATTTAGTATAAAAAATTTATGTGGAAATTTACAATAAATCAGTTATCTGCTGGAACATGAAAGTCTTTGTTACACACAGGTGCTCTGTTAATGTTTATTTGTTGAAAGAGATTTTGAGCTGCATTTTCTTGCTCCATTCGTAACTCTCATTTGAAGGTAACTGTAGAAACAGAGAAGTTCTCCTCTTCTGCTGAGAGCTGAACATTGAGCTAGTGGGAAGGTGCCGCAGTGAAACCCTAAGTCTAAGCCCCGAACGTTTACCTCACTGGGTCACCTAATGGATGCATTCACGTGAGTCACCCAACAGCACAGATCTCTCTGTTTCCCTGAAATAGAACAATTTCTTTACCTCCAAAGCAACTTGAATGTCACAGCCCAGAGTAGGTGCCCAACAAGTGCGATGATATGTCGAAAGATGAGTGGGACATCACCAGTTTTCCTCCGCAGCAGTTCAGTGCTGTTTCTTTGATGACTTCAAAGCTCTTTAAATGTAGATGGGAATTAAACCTTGCAGACAAGCATTGAGAGGTGAAGAGGAATGGAAATTTTTTAAGAAACCTAAGGTTACAAAGAGATTGAAAGAAAGAATTTCAAAATGAGTGGTGCTGTCTTCGTTTGGTCTGCATAAACAAACAAGAGTGTCTTAGTTACAAAAGTAAAAGACTATACGCTAGTCACATCGAGAAACTGAGAAGCCAAGGAGAAGAAAGGTGTCAGACAAGTGGGAGTGCTGAGCACAGGGGAGAAATTTCAGGAGACGAGTTTATAAAATGCTAAACTGAAACGTTGACGTGGGAGAGTATAGCTCAGTGGTAGAGCGCGTGCTTAGCGTGCATGAGGTCCTGGGTTCAATCCCCAGTGCCTCCATTAAAACAAAATGGTGAACAGGGTGCTCAATTGTTTTCTAATAACAATGTGTGAGTCTGACTTGATGAAAGAAATAAAAGACCCTACTTCCCGGGCTCTGCTTATATTATATCAGGATAAGAAGACATGGTCCTGAGGAGAGGGTATAGCTCAAGTGGTAGAGGGTGTGCTTGGCATGCCCAGGGTCTTGAGTTCAATCCCCAGTACCTCCTCTAAAATAAATAAATAGAAACCTAATTACCTCCCCCTACAAAAAAATAAATTTAAAAAAAAGAAAAAGAAATGGTCCCTTCTAAAAAGATGCTTAAAGGAGATTTCCCTAGCTTTATTTGGAACCAGGTGCCAGTATGGAAGAGCCTTCTCTAACAGAGAAGATTCCAGATCCTCACACAAAACGATGGCTTGTAAGGGTGGGAGCTGCCTGACACCACAGTCCCAAAGGAGGGAGGCTGGGAGCTGCGGGAGGGAGGAGTAACCTCGGAACCAAGACACACACACTTCACAGTACGTGTGTCTACAGAGACGTTAGACTCAGCTCTCTCTCTGACTCAGCCAACATCTCATCCTTGGTATCCCGAACCAGATCCCACGTAGGAGGCAGGAAGTGAAGGTGCAGTTCTTGCTCCGGGACCTGGAGACCCCTGAGGACGGCGCCGGGCCCTCTGTCCGCGCTGGTTAGAGTCATGCCTTCTTGGCAGAACCCATCAGCGCAAACCCTCCCCATCATCATTTCACATTTTATCAGCAGCTTGCCAGAAGAGATGTTTGAACGTGAAATTTTATTCACACTGACGTGAGGCCAGAAAAAGCCAAAATGGTGACTGGAAATAAAATGGAAAGACTTACAATTCTACATACCAAAAGGGACCAAAAAAAAAAAAATTCTCAAGAGAGACTGAACCAAACCACAGTATTTTCAAGGCTGCAGCGTCCCTGTTTGACAATTGTGTGTTTACAATAAGCCTAAGCATAATTGCTGTGATGGGCTGTCAGGGAAAAGATTAATTTGGCAAAAATTAGTATTGACTTGCTGTTTATTAAGGCTTTTAAACAGCTGTATCTGGCAGCGTTCCTGTAAGTGCCTGCCGTATCTGAAAATCAGCCTCACACCCTGGTGCTCGCCAGCTGTTACTGAGCAATCTTCCACCACTTTGAATGCCTTTCTCCAGGCCAAATAGCAAGAGCAAACTATTGCCAAATGAGCCTTTTTCTCCTCCTGTCACTTTTCTTTCCTTTCTGAGGTGGGGGAGGGGAGTGTCTGAACGCTGAAATGTCAGCCCGTGGCCGATGGCGGAGCTGATACGAGGTGCCGGAAGGCAGCAGGTGGCTTGGGGACTAGAGGAACGTTCCCCACGTAGAGAGTGGCGGTGCTGTTAGTCACCTTGCACACGCGAGAAAACCACAGCCTGCAACTGTTGGAAGGCAAAAGGGTTTCAAGACGGTTAGAAATCAGTGATCAAAGGCTCGGCGCCATCAGATTTCCAAAACCCATGTTTTGTTTCCTCGGACGGGCACAGGCCCCATCAGCCACAAGGCTGGGGGAAGACCCCGCCAGGGGACGCTGAGGCGAAGTTGGGTGGGGACCGTTCGTCTGTGTCCCGTGGACCAGACTTCCTCACCCAGACTCTGAAGGGGGACCAGCCACTCAGTCAAACGTGCACCTCTCATTTTGATTCAGTGGAAACTTGTAGAATGAGGTGGATTTGGAATGTTCTGAAGTCTGTCAAAGAAAGGGCAGATTGAGTTTTGCGCTGGAATAAGAGCCAGTGGTTTCCAAGTACAGTCGTGAAGGCGATGGAAAGAATAACATTCCAGGGTGGTTAAACACCAGGCTATAAAGGGCCCAGTGTTAGGGCGAGAGTCACACGAGCCTTTGCAATATGAGTGCTTTTACGAAGATTAATCTCAACTTTTTCGAGCTGCAGCAGGCTGGAGAAAAGTTGGCCGAGAGGACGCACAAGGACACGGTCATCTCTTAACCCTTCCAGGGCTGGCACTTCCCTTTAAACTCAGGGAGAGGGGGACGAGCCTAGGAGCTAAGCTTGAAGCAGGTGTTTGTCAATGTGTGACTTCCAAGTAACTTTGTTCCGAAGTCTTTGCCCTCCATGCGGTCTGATGCCTGAAGTTTGACTTGGGATCAAATCCGGTCCAGCTCCAAGGCACAGACAAACGTATCCTACTGCTCAGCCCCAACGGTGTGCCGCTCCTCCCCGGACCTCCCCGAGCTCCAGCCCTGATCCTCGCCACACACCCTGAGGGCAGGCGACGTAGGACTATGTCAGCTCGTACAAGCAGAGGAGCGAAGCGCCTCCCGCCTGAGAACGAGACGCGTGTCGCACTGAGCCCCGCAGGCCCTCACGGAGCCGGGCTCGCTGCCCCGCACCCAGCCTGGTCCTGCTCGTGCCCAGCTTTGGGCAAAGGGAAGTCCAGGGTGCGGGAGTCACGTAAAAATGCATCTACGCCCGCGAGTCACAGAGTGTTCTAAGTCCCACCACAGCCCTAGACTTGGGTGCTGGGGCCGATTCCGAGGGCAGGAGCTGCTGCCGCCGGCGCCTGCCCCCCACCCGCACCCCGGGAAGTCGGGCCCCGCGCCGCGGGCCCGCGGCCCCTCGGCCCTCAGGGGCGGCGCCACCGCCGGAGTCAAAGCACACCTGTTGCTGATTAAATTCAACTCCGGGAGTGCAACATCAACCTTTTATTCCAAAAAAAGCTAATGTTATTTCTAAAAGAATCCAAGAAAATCCCGGATGGGGAAAGCGGGGGCCGCTTGGGCTTCTGCTTTTCCTGTTTGGCAGGAAAACA